GGTATTTCAAGATTATCTAAACAATTTACTAGCGTAAAGATCTTAACGATTACCACTTCTTTTATGAAAAAAAATAAAATAATAACTCATTTTCAACTACATTTATTTGAATTAAAATCATCACATCGCCCATTCCCACGCACCGCATTCTCTTAAGACTACGCAGGGACGATTAGCTTTTTAAAGCGTTTAAGGGCGGCTATTAACACAAAAGCAACACAAAAATGAGTGTGTTAAAAAGTGACCCTCAAACCCGAAGTTTTGTCACATCTCCTGTTGTAATCCCTCTCATTTCCAGAGCTTTGCTCACGGATGTGCAAAAAAGGTTACTGTTCCTCGCTCTGTAGTGACGCGAGGGAATTATCATCGTAATAGATACGTCCGGCACACAATCAACCACAGGCTATTATTTTGCGAATTTTCCCAACATGAAAATGTTCTGGTAGTGTGTTGAGGTAGGCGTCGTCCTGCTGACTGAATCGTTCCGATACTTTTTAGCACATAAATTTGTTTCGACGTCATTAATATCGTCGAAGCCTGTTGCGCCGCTCTGCGTGCATGAAACTTTTAGCTTTTTATCAGCATTGTATACGATAGGATCCTAAACGCAAATCAACTCAATGCTAAGGCTTTTCTGATGATATATATCATCACTCACCTTGCCTTCGTTCGCCGCTGTGTAGGTTTCCAGTATCGGTATGCCCGACATTGTCATCTTCGTCGGTGCTACTAGGATTGCTTTTGAGACCAAGTTGCCGCGAACCTTGCACAAAATATCATTAGCTCAAGGCGTCTGCGTATATAGCACACCGAGCTAAAGGCCAAGTTTGTACGTATAATTCAGTAGTGAAATGATAGCCTTTCAGCACTATATTCTCTCTGCTATACCGTTAGATGTATCAGGCCAATCTAATAGCAGTTTGAAAGCATTTAATATTACCAGGTCTTCGACCTCAATGTTTCCAATACTTCTTCTGCTTCTTCCATCTGCAATTTTCCTTTTGCATGTCTTGGCTTTCAGCCATCGCATCGCGAACGTGTCGTCAGACACCCAGTTTAGTAGACAGGAAGTCTTCTACTTCTTTAGAGATAGCGTGGGACTGACATCAGCTAGCTGTTCGGCTATTCCTTGCCTGAATCTAAGCCTTTCAAGTATTACTATCGTCTATCTCTGTTTTGACGTGATGCTTACAGCCCACGTTAACCACAAACCTCTCTTTCATGCATTTCCATACGTTCGGTAAGTACTAATACTTGAGTGTCTCAGAACACTTTCAACTACACAAAAAATAATGTAAATTTGATTGCATAATTGTACTGAGATGTAAGGCCATTACACCTGCCTCTCAATTTTGGCCACATCGAGGTTCACACTTTTTTACCCCTATAAAGGTATTACGCAAAAGTGAATGCTTAACATGCTGTCACAGCGCTTGGGGTTTCGCTCCGGTCCTGACGCCAGACAACGCCTGCCTCAAAGAGTGTTTCGAATCTAGAGTTCAATTCCATTACTCACACCAACGGGCTTGGCGATCCGATGAAGTCAGCGTAGTCTATGCGACCGAAGCCTTTGCGACTTTCCCAGATGAAGGAGTCGAGACATTCATAGTGAAGGCGGTCTCAGCGACTTCGCATCCTCACCGACAGCTTTGTCCTGCTTATGGAATCGCATCACCCGTTCTAAATTCACGACGAGATCCAGCTCGCTATTAATATACTAGAAGTACCCTAGAATGCCCAGCTTGTCATTAGCAAGCGCGCGAGTCACAGATCCGCTTGCATTTCTTATTACATCGTGCTAAATGTTCCAAACCATCCAAAATTTCTTTTCGCGCCCCTACGGATCATCACACGCCTATGTTTGTAGGCCTTCAGGGATTAACGGGCGCCAGAGTCTCACCTTTTAAGTGCATTAGCAATTGCAAAGTTCTCACTTTCAAGATGTATCATCCGCCCTAGGAGAAGCAAATATTGTTGAGACATGTACCCTCCATGACAGATTTTCCTTGGAATTTCGAAACTGGACTAGTGGCGATGAATAGCTCTGCTTGCACATCAATCACGAGAATTAACCGTCTCCCTCGTCGTTGCTCTTACAAATCTTCTTCAGCGGAGCAAACGTCCGTCTAGGGCGTTGATTTATGCTTGACTTTGTAGAATGTAAAGCCCAACGCGGATATCAAGGTAACCATACATTATCACTCGATTCTGCTGCTTATTATCCTGCACGCCTCTATTAAGTAGCCGTTGCAGATACCCGACTGAGTATCGAGCTTGCAACGAAGTCAATTTACGCTCGCTTGTATGAAGCGAGCAGAAATGGATGAACCTGTCTCGTCTTCAAGCGAGATCAATGTTGAGGTGCGCCGGATGATAAGCTATAACTGCTCTAGAGCAACCTTGCTGATATTGTATCTCGAACTCCTGTGAATTTTTGGAGTAAAGATCCATTCCACTCCACAGCTACTGGTTACAGACCCGATGTACCTGCCGGTTTGCTATATTGTTCCCGCAAAGATTGTCTGCTCATTGAGAAGCACCGGCAGAGAATGACCCTCTCGCAGGTTGCTCTGCTGGCGTCCTGGAGACTTTCTCCGAGCCCTAAGAGACTTTCTTCGAAAGTCGTGCTCAGAGATCAGTCTTTGGATGGGCACTTCATCGCATTGCGTACTTTGATGAACCTCAGCGGTTCAGTACCATGTTGTTCCTCTAGTGCAAATTGTTGCCAACCCCACAGACAAATAATAGCGCTTCACCCGGAAAACACAGCTTCAGTATGACTATATAAATCACAAGAGTACTCGCATTCTTATTTAACAAGTGTATATCCGTTAATGGTTTAGTACTGCCATGAACGGGCCAATTTAGCGTGGTCACGACGAAGTTTTCGAGCCGCAAACACTGCATATACAGCTAGGTTAGCATTGGTTGAGTAGACATCTTTGTACAACTTATTGTTTTGCACTTTTCCTGCCTCTGATATCGGCTATTTGCTCTAACGCTTTAAGCCCTGGCATCACACACTTGACACATGACGCTATATCATAACGATGTGAAGCGTAGCTGGGCTGATTTGAACGAGTCAGATTGGTTTGGCAGCTTTTGACCAAATAATACTGGAGCCATATAGTGGCGGTGAAAAAGAAGTCCAGGGATTAAGAAAAGCGGTAAAAAGGGGCAAAGCCTGTAATTACACGTTATTGAGTCGCAATCGCTATGACTATGAGTAACTCGCTTCAGCACCACGATACGCTTTCGGTGCTCGAAAAGGATCCACTCCACCATGTGATTTAAGTTTCGCCTGACAATTTGTCTGTAGACGTCAACGGTGATGTCTTTAGTCTGGCACCTTTTATATTGAAAGAATTCACAAAGATTTTTTGGAGTGCTCGTATTTCGATTAAATAAACGACCTTCGGCAAGCCGTGTTGGCAAATAATCATTGTCGAGAAGCTACCGGGCTGTATCCTTATCGGTTACGGTATTTCTGGCCAGCGGCGAGATGATTCATCTTGCTACAACAGTCTATGGAGACCACGATGCTGGTATAATCGGAGTCATCTTTTTTAAAGCCAGACATAAAGTCCAGACTTATGGGCTGCCGAACTTTTTCAGGACCGGTAGGATAACCAAAGGCGCAGACGCATTCAGTAGGGGCTTTACTTATTGACAAGCTGCACACATGTGCTATCCTGTTGTTTCATGGTTGAATATCCCTGCATAGCGCCCACCGAGCAGGATGTTTTTCTTCCGAGGTGGTTATATGATGTGCCTCAAATTGCACTATGTACTTGGTTTTTTTTTATTACATTCGGTCATACCTTGTGTGTCCAGCAGGCCAGTGCTGTTTTACAGCAATCCTAGGGATGAGATTTGCGGTGGAACTTGCTACCTAGCGCTTCGATAAAGCGGCGTCTGAGCGATTAAACCCTTGTTTGTCCTGAAGCTTTTAACAGCGCAACACATGCTGCGTCTGCTTCATGCTCCGTACATACAGCCTCATAAGTTGGTGACGCCGCCATCGTGTAAGTCAATATCTCATAGTAACAGCAACGCAGAAATACATCTGCAACCACATAAGCCGCTTCAGCTATTACCTCACCTCGAAAGTATTATTGGGAATGAAAAATGACCAAGTTGCCGTTCTCTGTAAGAGAAATGGTGACGAACTCAAAGTGCAAAAGAACGCATGATATAAATAGAACATAAACGCCTTAGAGCCAAACAGGTACATTTTGAATTCGACAAGTACATCAAAGTAGCTCCTTGTCGCGAAAATGGTAACTTTTTTCTGTTGCTTGAGCTGGAAATACTAAGATGCTATTACACATTCAACCCGTCGCCGTCTGCTTGGAGTAAGGCACAGACGTGTCATAGGCTGAGGAATCCGGAATGGCCGATCTGGATTTGATTTTGCCAGATTCAAAGCTTGCATTAGGCTTTCTCATAGCATTGAGGACCTCCTCTTCTGCCGCACCCCACCACCATTTGAAATCCGAAATCAAAAAAATTGGTGATCAAGTGCTTGAGCACGTTTTTTGCTGTACATGTACATGTAATGGGTCAGGCCAAACTAATTATTGTGGCCCACGTAGGCCAGTGGTACCAACCAATTTAAATCGCATATCATCGTTGCGAGATCTACGCGCAGGCCCTGCATCTAGATATAACAATCAACATGCGAGATCTCATTAGCACTTAGAAGACGTTTATCGATCCTGGCCTAAACTCTTCAAGCTCCATGCAACCAATCACTACTTGCAACTGTTTCATTTGTTTTCTAGATTTATCTGTACAAGTCCTGCACTGATATGGTCTAATACATCATCAATGTAAATTTTTCATCGCCATGGTGAGGCTGGAACAGTAGCGTTACTGCTGTGCCAGACAGTCTATGGAAACAAAAGCCATTCACCGAGCATATGGAGTACTCACTGCAGTAAAATGAATATCAATGTCTGTCATGAATATTTGATAGAAACCGTGGATATCATCTGTCTGACATTAACGCTTGATAGCAACCCTCAACACTGTAAAGGGTATTAAATGATATGGCTGACTTCGCACATCCTTTCAAGGAATTGTCATTTGCGCCAGAATAGTGATTACACAAAACTCATTTTACGCACGCGAGAAATTCAGCGCTTGCCGATATTTTTTCCAACACAGGAAGTTATTCTGAAAGGTAGATCGATATTATATCACCATGTCCTATTTCTTCGAAATAAAGTGTCTGAAGCATCACTGTGTCCTCGGTCAGGGCGAATAAAGTATTAGTATTTGATTGTTGAATCAATCCATGACTCACTTTAAATCCGGGTGCAGCACGCCTAGCGGGGCTCATGTCACCACATCGTGACATCTATTCAATACCAACATAAAATATATATATTACCCTTGAAGATAAATTTTAACTTTCGCTGTCCGGGTCCTCTTTATCGGACACATTGATCGCGATCAGCCTCTCCTCCGTTATCAACCAAACTAGTTCCGTAGATTTACCGTTTTGCAATTCATCTAAGAAACAGTGAGGATGGCTGCCTGAAAGCATGAGGTGACCCTTCTAGCCCTTCAATTACCCCTGTCAGTAAACTCACAGTTTAATAACCGTTTCCACCGCTTACCCGTCGATTTTCACTTTTCGAACGATGGACACGAGTACCGCTACATCTTCACAAGATGAGGCATCTTTGAACCCGACGTCTCTACCACAGTAGTCCGTGATACCCGGCGCTATAACTATTCGCGGGCTCTGAGACACGAGACACCAGCTTACAGCGGTGACTGATTAGCGCATCTTGACATGCAGTCGTCAACTACTTCTTATTAGATATGTACCTTGCAGACCGCGAAATACAATCGTTTTTTATGTATCATCCTGCGATCGCGATTCACTGTTGAATTCACCTTCAGAGCTCTACTCCAAGGACTTGAAATATGATTGAAAGCCAGCTCAAATAATTCTATACCCTGCACATAAGCTATAATAGCTTCATACCCGCGCCAAAAGAGCTTCTGCTTCTTAGTGAAGTTGTCTTCATAGTTCACCAAAAACCCAACAGGAGAGGAGTACATGACGTCT